AACGATCACGTCATTTGTTATTGAAAAATGGAATAGGTAACTGTTAAAACTAATGTCTGCTTATTCAAAATACTTTTTTTATAAATATATCCAGAATTCATAATATTTATATTGACAGGATGTAAACGTGGAAAAAATCAATATATACGTATACTTATATGTATATGTATATAATGTATGCATGTGGTTTTGTATTTGAACTACATGATTACCCAAAATAATGATTATTATTTCTAGATGAATCTTTTTGTAACTAATGAGAATTTTTATAAAATACACAATATATAAACATGTAACCTAATAATCTTCAATTTATATTGCACATGTATTGTAAGTTTGGGTTATCTGCCGCCGTCTCTTGTCGTGCGTCTCTTGCGGAAGAGGTTTGAAGTTTGAACCTCTGGCTAAGCGTGCCTCATGCTCATTCTTTGTCATCATATTGTTTTTAAATACGATGGTTAGGTTAGGTTAGTTACAGATTGATCCCGACTATTGTTTACACTTCGTTACAGCCGGAGAAATGTAACTAATTAATTTTTCGAAAATAAATTTGTCATTTTAATGATCTTATTTGTGTAAAATGGCAGATGACAATGTTCTCTTCATTCGGGGAAATGGAAATGTACGTATATGCTTTGAATTGTTGACGATGGGTTAAGGCAGGAAGTTTAATATTGTTGTTTGTAGTCAACAAATGCAGAGGATGAAGATATCTGGGATGACAGTGCGTTAATTAAAGCATATGATAAAGCAATCAATTTAGCGAAAGAGGAAGTTGGCAAGCGAATGGGTATGGAAATTGAAAATTTTCAGCCCAAACAGAAGGCACCAAATTTTAAGCCACCTCGTCATACAGCTAAGCCACATAAGGTTTATAAGTTTTATCAATTTCTATTAGTATTAATCACAGTAATATTTAATGTATAAACGTTTTATCTATATAGAAGTGGGCTGTAGGAGCACCCTGTCGTGCAGTATATTCAGAAGATGGAGAAGTTTATGAAGCTGTAATATCAAAAATTTATGAGAACAGTGGAACTTGCATTGTGAAATTTGTAGGTAATAGGTTTAGCTTTCATATTACCATATACAATCTGACAGTGGCCGAGCAAAAAGTACATTAAAACTGTTAAAAAAATAAGTTTGAATTTGACAAGCTAATCATGTTCAAAATGATTTTATATGTATTTAGGTTACGGTAATACAGAAAAAGTAGAATTGAACAGTCTTCTGGAATCGAATGGATTGCAAAGTCAGATAGCTCAACATAAAGATGCGGTTAAAGAAGAATTCAATGGAGAAAACGCAGATACTGATCAAAGTACCTTTTTTGCAAACGCAAAAATATTTAATGGAGATAAAATGGATTGCGAAGTGGAAGAAACAGAAACACATAAACATCAATTTATGCCCGGTTCCTCCTTTAACTCAGCAGATATTATGCCACCTGCACCTCCTTTACCGCCACAACTAATGGCCAAGTACGCCCATACCGTAAATTAGCAATGTTACTAAACATTGACCGACTATCATAGATGTAAGATCGAAATACTTCAGTTCCCAAATGAAAAACTTTGGTGTATTATTACAGATTGCCGGACAATGACGCGGATGCGCTTTCGAGTATGCTAATGTCATGGTACATTAGTGGCTTTCACACAGGTAATTTTAACTAATAATTTTATCTAGCCATCTTCTATCTCGAATAGAAATGTATACATTACTAATTTTGCAGGTTACTATCATGGTTTGAAACAAGCAAGAAGTAATCAGGAAAAAAGAAAAAATTGTTGATTATGTAGAACTCGCTTCATTAAACCAAAATGCAATACAATTTTTATAAAACAATACATTAACATAGTTCAAAATAATCATTGCATTTGTTTATTTAACGTTTTTCAAATACATTATTATATTATATGATATATTCTGTAATTCTGTGTTTAGGCTGCAAACATTATCCTGCCCATTGATCATATTTGGTTTTGGTATTATCATCAACGGTCCTCGATGTACCCTCGACCACTTCTTCTAATATGTAAAAATCTCTTAACTCATATTTCAAATTTTCTATATTTATCTCTTTTTTGTCAAGCTTTTCCCATACTGGTTTTGATTCTAACATCCAAGCTTGTTTACAAATTAGTTTTATGTCCGCGCAGGAATACGACTCTGTGGACTTAATTATGCCATCCATTTCATCATTTTCGCGGATTTCCTCGCTAACATATAAGTCAAACAGTTTCCGACGAGTAGACTCACTGGGTAATGGTACGTATATACGTTTTTCAAGACGTCTCAATAAGGCTGCGTCAATGTCCCTGATAAAGATTATAAATTTTGATGTAATTATTAGAAATACATGAATTTAATTATCACTGTCTTAACATTCAAACAGGAATCGCTTATTTAAAAAGAACTTTAAGTAATAATCGTACTTACCAAGGAGCATTAGTCGCTGCTAGAAGAACGACGTGCGAATTTTCAGTAGACACTAAGCCGTCCAATCTAGTAAGAAGTTCGGATCTAAATCTTTTCGCTGGTTCGGATAGCGAGTAATTTGTGTTCGTTGCTATCCAATCGATCTCGTCAATAAATATAATGGTAGGAGATTGACTGTATGCGAGATCGAACAAAACCTTTTGTCGGGATTTAAAATTCAAAATTTATTATTGGAAATATACATAGGGAACGTAGAGAATAAAACTCACGCGTATATATTTCTCAGAATCTCCCCGCCATTTGCTGACTAACGAGCTGGCAGTTATATTGAAGAAGGTACAGTCGCATTCGGTTGCGACTGCCTTCGCCAACAATGTTTTTCCTGTTTCAAATTTCAATTTCGATTAACGTACATAAAAAGCGGAAACAAGAAAAAATGTGCAGATCTTACCTGTACCAGGCGGCCCATGCAGCAGGATGCCTTTCCAGGCTGAGAATGGCCCTGCGAAGTAAACAGGATACTTAAAAGGATACACGATTGCCTGCTTGATTGCAGTTTTACAATCTTCTAAGCCTATGACGTCTTCCCAACGAACATTTAAATTCTCCAGCACGATTTCCTAGAAAGAGGAAATCAAAGACATAACTTTCCTTTATAGACAACTACATGCTAATTATACAAACATTATTTCATCGAATATGACAGGCCGTGAAAAAGATCGTAGTTTTCCAAAATATGATTGTAAACTTACATGTGATATGTCCTCTGCAATTTTCCGTAACTCCGAGTCTGCTGGATAAAGTCTTTCAATAGTTTCAAATATCTTCAATCGATTTTTAGGATACGTAATTGAATGTCTTTTATTATCTTTGCCTTCGTTGGAAAAAATTGGAACCACGGTCATCGCGAGTTTAATATCTTCCTCTAAATTATTGTCATTTGTTGTTTGTTGCATATATTTTGCTTTAACTATTGCCTTCTTTACTGGTTTGGTTTTCGGCTTGGCTTCGCTATATAAATATAATATTGAATTTTAATATTTGTTTAAATAACAAGAAATTTAAGTTAATCATATCATATTCTTCCTATGTCTATAGTTTTATTCAATTAAAAAATGTTTAATTATTAAAATTCTTACGATATATCCAGTACGACTTTTTTACACAATTTGGGATATTTGTCAAATTTCATCCGTTGAAAACTATCATATTCCGCAAGAATTATTTCCAGGTCTATATTATCGCAGACCACCATACTTTGTGCGAGATCGCCCTCCCACATTAGCATATTGTAAGTCTCCTTGAGTCTGTGAAAATGATCTCTCGTTATTTTATATTTTTCTCATGATCAATTTATATAATTTTTCCTCACCCATGTTCGTCCAGATACTTTAGAATAAGATACGGAATTGCTTGGCGACGTTCGGAAGTGCGAACTGATTCCTAATATTAAAATTAATCTCTTTCAGTAATTTTCATAATGGCAGATTTCATTAGTTTATTTCAAATTTCTTGAGACATTAGCGTGTATGTTATAAAATTGCACGAAATACAAAAATAAGGTGCCGTGCCATTAAAAATGTTACGCAAAAAATCGCCTTTTTAGTCAGAAACAAAAGAGCACGTGCTCAGCGATAAGTAAATTTCAGCATTACCTTCTCCCGTAGATTGTGAGACATCTGATTCGCAGTACCTTCCATCGATAGATTTCCGTTTACCATTTTTATGAATATATCGTTTGATAGATAGAATAAATCTATCAATCAATCAATCAATCAATCTTCTGCGCGTCTTTTTTTCCTCGGTGAGCAGAGCAAGCGTGGCAAGCATGCAACGACCACAATGACCACAATGCTTCGAAGACTTGTTTGAAAAAAGTTGACGAGCGATTCGTTACCAAGGCGACGTCGATTCAATAACTCTGTTATAATGAATGTTATACTATGTATTCGGACACTGATCCAATAGTAACTTTTAAGCTCTATATTTTCAATGAATGTACAAGAAATAAAAAAAATGTATTACATTATGTATACTGAATAAATAGTAGCAGAGGAAAAATTAAAAATTTATTACTCATTGTTGCCTAAAACACAAGTACCGTTGTAAATATAAAACGCTACCGAGACGACGTCCAATTGGCCGTCCAAGAATTTTAAATTATCGCGATAGACGTTACATTATGAGAGAAATCAAAAAAGACCCCAAAAATAGTACTCCAAAGCTACCTACCAGAATACAATAAGAACGTGGGATTATAGTACATCTAGAAAATATTCGAAGAGTACTCAAATCGGAGGGGTACAATGAACGAATTGCTAGGAGAAAACCGTACGAGCAGAGTGTTTTAAGTAAGAAGGTTGAATTAAATTTATGCTCATTGTTAAGTCCATCGTTTAACGCTTTCGATGTTTATGCCGAGTATATTCGTTATAAGTTAGACATAATTAGGCACGTGCATATTTTCGAAATGGAATTCAACGGGTGGAAGATTATTCGGTTCTATTCTTCGCGTCCTTGTTTTCTATTCCATGAGACTCTTTGTTTAAAGTTTGGGTAACTACCTTCCGGATACTCTTCACTCTTCATCTTTGTGAACGTTCCGCCTTCCCTCGGGCTTCGCCGGATTGCGCTGTTGTTGACGTATACAATGTATGTAATACCTACATATGTACTTGTCATTTACAATCTGTTTAACTGTTTCCTGTGCCTGGGAACTGTCAGGAAGTATACGTTCAAGAATTAAGTGATACAAAGCGTTCTCTTTCGTAACAGGTTGCTGACTTCGAAACAGAATATGAACAACATTTTTCGTGATTCATTCATTTAATTGTTGTTTTAGTAGAAATTTTCAAAGAAAAACTTGTAACTATTTACTTCTTTTCACATCATTTGACACACAAGGAATTAATTTGCTTGCAAAGATAAAGGAGGCACGTTTATTAGAAAGTGGCTAAAGTGATATCTGTTTTAATTTTGAAGCCTCGTTCAGACTAAGAAGTGATTGTCTGCAGACACACATGTCTACGTACATTATCTGCCATCTGACAAATGATGAACGACGAAATCTGAAGAGAATGATGGAAGACATAAACCTGAGACAGACACGTGCTGCAGACAATTGTCTCTAATTGTAAGTTTGGATGAGATTTAACGAAGGAAGCAACCGTTGACAAAGCGAATCAAGAGCAGTGGCAGCGGCTAGTGTGTTGTTGCAGTTGCAGGTGCGGCTGCACCGGTGCGTTGCGGCCGTCGTCGGGGGGTGGGTTTTGATGCCGAGGGGAGGCACTGAAACGTGTTCGATCGACCCGCGAAGAACGCAGCCCGTGCTCACACTGCGACAGCGGTGAGCGAACGGCCACTTCAGTCAGTCGCTGTTCGCCAGTCGACCGCGTCGCTCTCGGGTTCCGGTCCGCGATTCACCTCGTCACGAGTTCCAACCCCTTTCGCGGCCTACATATTGTTATCACTTATCACAATTATTATACGCGTTGATTTTCTCGCATAGTAACCTCGCACTTTTAGAGATACTGACTTGTTTCGGCCCGCCGCGCAGTTTGGAGGGAACGCAGATCGCTTGAACACATGGACCTCGAGACACGAGGGATGAAGGCATCCGCGTGATGCGCTTTCGAGGTAAACTTTATTCTTCGTTAATCAAATTTGATTTATGACTTTTCGTCCTCATAACATGTGTACATCATCAAATCAGTTAACTGTTTTTTAATTTATAATTAATGATTGCGCGCGATGCATTTATTTCTATGGATTCGGATTAAAACAGTAGAAATTGATACTTTGACATGATAAACAGACAATAGATTTGATGCATTTATAAAAAAGTTGTATTTGTAGAAAATATAACAAACGTATATGATATTTCAAAACACGAGGGAAAATACGAATTGCACCATGCAATACGAATGTAAAAATAATATATATAAAACATTAAAAGCTGAGTGAATATTGCAATGCTTAAACCGATAAGAGTTTCCATTTAAAAAGCCTTTTTTTAAATTGTTACCATAAATATATTATTTTGTATAAAAATTTGCAGTCTAATGATCAATTAATTCAATTCCTATAACACAATGAATACGAAAGAAGACAAACGATTTTAATGAAAATTTAGTGGACTGAACTTTATCGTTGGTTCCCAAAGTTTTCTGTACCTAAGTTTCGTCAGTAAATTACTTCATTTTAACGTGCTGAGTATAAATACAATTTTTGGCGTAGATGAAAATTTTGCAAGCACGAAAATATTTTACTAACACACTGACTCCTGTCCATACGTGTGTATCAGTGGCACAGTCACAAGCATAGTCCTAGCCTCATCGTTTATATTACAAACAGCAAATATAATAATATTAGTCAATAAACAAAACACGAAAACGCTTCAGGAAGTGTGCGTTGGATCTCAGCATCTGGTTTTAATTATACGTACATAAGTACATATCTGTTGCTTTGTTTATTGCAGTTTCAAAATTTCGGCTACCGTAGGATTCTGTTAAAAAATTGGGATGACACCTAGACAAAGTATTCCAGCATCTTTTGATATCGATATCCGGGAGATAAATTTGCAGAGAATGAATTTTTCGTGCGGTTCACGTTTTAACTTTTGCTTATGGAATAATGTCATTATATTTTATTTATAATAGCGAAGCTGGCACTACGCTTGTGTCGCAAATGCACACTTATAGACAGGATTCAATGTCATAGTAAAGCAGTTATTTCCGTACATGTAACGGGAAACGTCGGCCATCTGCTGTCTATCAAGACAGGGTTTTATTCGGAAAAATATGAATAATAACACATTTACGTATATCTCGAGAAATTTTCATTTCCACCAAAAATAATAATTATTTCGTGTAGCTCGTCCAAACGAACAATTATGTGCTGGAATCTTGTGTGAATGGTAAAGTCTCACTAGTTGGTGCTGAAAGAATTTGAAATAGTTGACTGTTTTGGTGAATACGTTTTCGCTGAAATAAGCGTATATCCCGAATTTGAAAATTGAGGGACAGGTATGCATCCAGAGATAGCTGATACAGTTTTGTCGGCGTCGACACGACGCCGCGTATGTTTTTGTGCAACTAGCGGAAACCGATGCACGGAACGTACATGTGCGGAGAATAACGAGAGGAACGACAAAAAGTGTTCAATGTTTCATCTGCTATTTTGGAGCATGGACGACACGCAGAAAGAATCCAGAGGGGAAAAAGAGAATTGAATTTCGAAGCAAAAAGTTATCTCTTTTTAATTCGTATTCTAAAGTTAAAATATGTTTTAAAACTGGAAACAGGAAATAAATTTGATTTTGTTAAAACATTTACATGCAGCATTATTTATTTCTTGTTGACACCAATTTGTAAAATATTGTCATGTCACCATTGCTTTAAAATGAATGATTAGACGTTTTCATGTTTTATTTTCTATTGATAATAATTTATTAGAAATCCTGAAAGAAAAAAATTCTCCGTTTTTGTTAAATAAGAGTCATGATTTTGATGATATCCATTGTCGCATCGCTCAACGCCGCGACAGATCAGCATCGCTAAATGATTGACCTTAATCACTAAATGGCAGTCGCGATTCAGTGATAGAGCCTTATATGTAGCACGGCGGACGTGGTTCTCGCTTGTAAGACGCTTATTGTGAGCATTTACAATAGCGTTTAACTCGCATTGAACATGAAATCTAAAGCGAAACATGTATGCAGTGTCACTCTTCGATACATGTCTTTTCAAATAAAATATAAAACGCCAAATTTCCATCGGCTTGGAATTATAATTTTATGTTCTATTTCACTGGTCCCCAGTTTTTAATATCGCTCGAGTGTCTTACTCATTAAAATAATCTTGAAAGCATTTAATCATCTCCTCACATTTCTAAAAAGAAAATCGTATAACGAGCACGGATTTTAAACGAGAAGAAGGTCGTTGAATAATTGTTTCCCGCATCAGTGGCGCGCGTATCGAACTCTGCTCTGTGACCAATTAACGCAAAGCGCTGATTGCTTAATTAATTAATAATGAGCGGAATTAATTAACGTTCAGCGTGGGTTGCGTATTACTTTTGCGGGCACAGTTACAGAGCCGGTCGATATCGAACCGTCTCTCACCTTGATACTTGAAAAGTCGGAAATAATTAAATTCAACCGCTTCGTTAAATTTGCAGCCGCGTTTGCATGCGTGCGTCCCTCCGGTGAACCGGTGGGCGGGTGTACGTACACATGGGCCAGCGTTTCTCTCCTGCGATTTACATTGTCCCGCGCTAACGCGAGTTTCAATTAACTGCGTCAAACAGAAGTGCAATCAACGCAACTCATAACGCGAAATGATATCATAACGGCGTTGACGTCATTACTTCTAAACGTTTATCGATTATTCGAATTGAAATTTCTCCGAAGTTTAACTTTGTTGTTTCATAGTTTATAATATGTTTGCAATCTTCCTAATTGTGTATTTTTTTAGTTCAATATACAGTCATCTCTTTTGGTCTGTCACTTCGTTTCTCGTCTTCCACATTGGAATCTCTGCTACTGAATCCTTTAATCCATTTTTGAATAGTATGTTTGTCGATAGCACATTATTTTCCAAAAATAAAAGAGAATGAGATGTCAAAAATGAATATTTTGCTTGCTTATCTTTAAAGGCTTAGTCGAACTTTCGAGGCTTTAATATTAAGTGTAAAACATCATTTAGATTTTCGATATCCTTAACGAGATTTGTTTGCCAGTTTCTACGACAAAATATAGTATATCAGATAATGTTTCCGAGAAGTGAGACCAGCCGTCAACGTGAACGGATATTTTACTCAATCTAGTCTTTGCTTTTTACCCTCGTACAGTCATTGTACCTTAAAGTTAAAAATAAGGAAATTTGTAACTTTATTTCAGTTAATTATTGACTCTCACTCTTTCAATGTTATTAAAATTCTTCTTTTTGTTACTTAAACTGATATCGGTGGTGTCTCAAAATAAAAAATTAGACGTGAAATCTAATTTTAATAAAAAGCTGTAACTTTCCATTTAATTATTGACTCAATCTGTGGTAACATCCAGAATCACGAGTTTAATAATTTCCTAATAACCGACGTTCAATGCGCAACGCAGGAATACTGCATTGTTCAACTCTGAACTTATCACTGCGCCACAAACTGCGTTCGAGGTACGCTCGGATATAGAAAATGAAATCGTTCAAGTAAAACCAAAAAAATTTATAGAGTAACTTGAACTTTCCACTAGTTTTCAGGTACACATAAAAGTCGATGTAATAATTAATACAATGTTCATTCAATGATAGATACTTACAATGTTTAATACAATAATTATTATAAAAATGCACTGAATGCAGGCTGATTCATTTGAACTTACAAATTGAAAATTATATACATATTACATTACATAAATGATAATGCAGATATTTGTATTTATTGCAACGACTCTATGCTAGACTCGTTTGCAGGACGTGTTAATAATCATAAACAGTTTACATGATATTTATAGTACATTTTATGACGACTTACTTGATACACTTATACATACAGGCAGTTATAACCGACGTTCGCGTGACTGCCGTCACCTAGCCTATTATTCACGAGTTACACGTCTGTAGGACAAACGAGTACTATACCATTGACATTGTTTTCACGTTGAGTTCGAACGCAATTACGTTTGCTCGAGTAATAAGCTTACGCGAATTTCTCCGTTACTATCGAACTGCGCGACGTTTGATTTTAGGTATTGTTATTCTCGTATCGATAAAACTAAATAAATGATTAAGAAGTTCAAGATAAGGCATACTTTGTGCAATCTCATTGTTAATCTTTTTTATCCCTTATTAATTTAACGCGAATAATGGCTATAAATACGTTAATGTCACCTCGTATTGGATGCGCGCTTAGACTAACGCTCGGTTCATCGACTTTCTTTTGCTTCGCCGTTGTCAACACGGATTCTCCGATAACTGAAACTTCAGCAAAGAATTCCCATCTTTCTTTCCTCTCCGCGCCCCTCGCTAATTAAGTAGTATTGATTCTGACGTCGACTATGAAGGCTTTAAATTTGGTTTGAAAATCACTAACTAGAAAGTCACGTGAATGCTCGCTTATACAAAACAGCGAAGGCTGAACTGTGGAGCTTAAAGAGCTTTTCTGTAATTTTAAGTACACTTGTTTCTCCTATGTGAGATATGTGCGTACGTCTGTATGCTATTATTAAAACTAGTCGAATCATTATGATTTTTATTGATTGTCCAGTGTCAAAATTTTCACGCTGTCTTAATAAGTTCGAATGGAGTATGAACACTTACGTGGTTCTATCATATAAAGATATGAATTACAATCCTGGATCTAGACTTTGTAGGTCAGGTAGCAAATATTTAGGAAAATTGATATTCACCGCGGCGAAAACATTTTCAGCGGCTTGTGCCACAAACGGTTGCTTATGTTACATTTACATACTTGTTCTTAACCGTAATTATATGCACGTGCATGCTCCTCGATGCTTCTTACACTTTTACCTGATAATCAATTTTCGCAGCCGTAGTTTCTTTAGGAAACTATATTAGCAATAATTTCCAGTAGATGTATAATAATAAATATAACTTAATTCAAGTGAAGAACATAAAATAATTGCATATAGTTTAAGCTATAATTAGTTTTAACATTAAAGTATCGATTGAATAGGATTTTCTCGATTACGATTCCTAATTGAAGGCTTAACCCGCAGCGAGAATAAATTATCGTAATAAGTTCATCCCTAACGCCTGCTAGCTAACTATTTAATCCAACTATGATTCTGTTTGTGATTTCACGTATTTCACGAACTCGATAATGCATCGAGGATGTCTATTTGACCGTACACGATGTATCTATAAATAATTGATCGCGATCAATATTGCATTGCTTTTCGAGGAACTACGATGCGATCGTCGATGACCGACGCGAAAATGAAATCGGAACAATTGGTTATCGTCAATCGAATACGTATCCAAATAGCCTAGGAAAAATAGGAATGTAAAATTGGAAAATCATATTTTACATATTTATCATTGAAGTATTATTAGCNACAGAAACGAGGAAGCGAAAGGGGAAGAATGGAATTTTAGCTCGGTAACGAGTTTGATTTCATGAAACGAGCCAGCGAATTGCCAGCGTGTCGTCGTTTCCACCTCTTCTCTAGTTTTATTCGTTAAGGGAAATGCAGGTGCTGGATTCGTGTGAAAAGTACTCGTTAAATGACTAGCGACGCGTTCGCTGCCACGCGTGCCATCCACGCTCGCTGCTTCCCCAAATTATGATGCAAAATGCAAACGTCTCGTTTTCGTAGTTTCTTTGAGAGACGCATTTGAAGTATGAATCGTTAGTTCGGTCTGAACTTTTGCCAAATACAGAGAAAACATTTTTATCTTTTATTGATAGCATCCAACTTAGAAGAAAACAAAGGCAGGAATCCTTAGAAGGAAACATAGCATGTCAATTACATTGACACCAATATGACAATACAACTTTTTTATTTGTAATTAGTTTTTGATGAAAACGGTATCATTCTTTTAATTAAAATAGGACTAAATACAATATTCTTCCTATTGCATTCATTCTTTTAAAGGAATTAAGTAGGCATCATCTATTAAGTTAACAAATCCATATATTCGTATATCCAAGCATACTGATCTCAAAACTCTAAAAAAGTACGATTTTCTCTCTTATTCCTGAAGTTGTAAATTACCATATTTTCATACATTCTATTGCTATGCATTTTAATCAGGAATAGCATCACATACGGATATTTTATTCTGTATTAAATAACTCAACTCGGCGACCGAGATCAGATGCACAGAGGATTAGTAGGGATGAAACTTCATTTAGACAGAATCTTTTTTTATCTTGTAAGCATTAATATAATATAACAGCTTCTCTGCTATTCTATCCATTTTTAAACATTCAATTTTCTTATAAATGTACAAAATCCTCAGTCTAATTTGAATTGATTTCCGTTCGAATGAGTTCGATTGCGTTGCGGAATTACGATCGATCAGAAAGTGCTATCGTCAGCTTGTTTGAGCATTATCGTAAGGCGGTCATCTCGTTCTGAAAATAATGCAAACAACTAAGAATAAATATTGAACGTTTACGCTCTCCCCCACTGCCCCGATCTTGAGTATTCCATTAAACTAGCTGTCAATATCAATTTATTATCTTCTAAATTATGTAAAGTGTTTATAGAATAAACAGTTCTTAGTTAGCAATGGAATCGATTGAACTTCGTTTCGTGAAAAGAGAACTTCGACAAACTTGTTCATTTCAAGTGATTAAAAACGGATAAAGAGTTCCTTAACGAGGCTACCAAGTGAGCTATTCTCAATTAACTGATTATAGATACATAGTACAGAACGATGATCTGTTTGAATAAAAAAAGAAGGGAGGAGTGATTATTGATTATCGATGTGAAAAAACGGTCAAGTTACGAGGAAACTTCTTCCCTTCCGCATTTATTAATGGCGGAGAAAATTACCGTAACAAAGGACATTAAAGACGATCGAACCAAGTACTCGTTATAGTTGAACGCGTTAAGTTATACAATCTAAGTTGAGATTCTTTCAAGTCTAATCATAAAACTATCTATTTTCATGATTACTTAGCACATGTTTTGCTTATAACGACGCATAAATTGGAAAGAAGTTCGTTAATTGGAAAAAGATCCCGACGGCGTGACAATTTGATCCATTTAGAGGCAATCGAGCGGCCGGTCAAGGTTGCGCAGCCACAATTATCTCGCGTTTAGGATCAATCAACACAATCCCACGCGAAATTGATCCAACCACGACCGCAGGCATATGAAAACGCGTGCATTCTGATTTCTGTTTCGTTGCCAGATAACATGCTACTGGCTGCTGCAGTGCGCGCACGGTGCTCGCTGAAATAGCCGGAATCATCCACGATTCGAGATACCCGGAGACAATCGAGGACCATGAGATCTTCGAGAGCCTACTCGAAGATACCCGCGTGGACGTTCTGCCTCCTCGCCGTTCTCCTCTTTCCTCATGGGACCGGTAAGTCAAACCGGCATTAAGTATCATTCGCATGAAATCGAAACCATTTGAAACTGAAGACGAGGATTAATAATTGCCGCATTAACTGCTCACACCTATGAAAGTTACTACATAATGCAATCTACAAAATATTTACATTCCAATTATTTTTATTTACTTATTGCACGAAATTTAATTTTTTCAATAATTTTAAAAGCAATCTTCACGTTTTGTAGATTTATATAAAGAACTGTTCTCTTTTCTATACAATGAAGCTAACAAATAAATAATTTACTATTCTCATTAAAATAACATTATCTATTATAAAATAATAAACGCGATATCTATCAGAATGTATTACCTCAAGTTTTTACGTTAGCGGAGACTGCATTGCGGATGCAGGGTAAAAGTGTTGCCAGGATAATTGCGCAACGCGGATTTGCCACGAGAAACGCACAATACCTGTTTTGTTCTTCTAGCTGCTTTGGAAGAGAATTGCACGGACTTCCAGGGCGGTGTCGTGCGACACGGTCTTCTCTATGTCCCGGGACCTGCGGTTTGCAGCCTCTGCGTTTGCTATCATTCGGAGCCAAAGTGGTGTCAAGCCATCTTCTGCACGCCACCTTATGTAAGTATATATATATGTACATATACATCAATTCGAGACCGCTTGACACGTCCCCGATTATCCTTCGAGTGTGGATGAATTTGTACTTTCCATGAATTCATTTTTTTATACAAACAAATACAGAAGTACGCTTAATATAGAATAGCTATAAAAACGATTATTGAATGCTGATGAAAATAATTCAGTCTCTTATTTATAGACCTCGGATTTTTATACACTTAGAAAATTTAAATGTGGAAGAATGTACATAATGCAGAAAATTCATAATACAAATCTCTCATATCATGTTATTTAATTTAGAAAGTGATTAATTCATATGATTGAATTACATCTTATTAAAATTTTCTATAAAAATCTACAATCTATTTGTACGAATTATTCTAAAATTTCCGTATTCAATTTTCATTTCGTAGACAATGAACGCATTGGGTATTGATGAAAATCGATTACATGGAATAAACGATTTCAGTGAATACGCTTTTCTAGAACAAAACTCGATGCACGTTGTATAAAATTCTATTTACATACTTATTTGATTCAATTAATTTTATTATCTTTATTAAAACAGAAGAACTGTAAATTTCTACTTCGTTCAAATTGAGTTCAGAAAAGTTAGTCTCCTCTATAAAAAGAGATTGCAATACGGATTAGATAATTGGATTTGTGACGTGAATTGCGAACTTTAATAAAATCGGCTCAGCAACTATTTTACATTCTGAAATATTTGAGATGAATACGCGGGATCTGGCTTTGAGAAAGACATGGTCGAATTAATGGAACAATTACTGGCCGTTGAAATTAGAAGAGGAAAAAAGGAGAAGAAACGTCTTGCCATTGAATGCGCGATCCTTTTGGGCTTCATGGTTCGTGAAGTTGTCAGATAATTTAATTAAATGGTGGATTAAGCCTTTTGTAAAGCAGTTCCAACAGAGAGACAGTTCTACGTTTTTGACTAGAATCATTCCGAATAAGCTCATCCGATAAGAATGTGAAAAAAAGTATTAGACTGATTTCGTGTCATAGCAAATAAATATTTTTTATTGATTTTCACCGATATGATATTTGCTACTGAAAACGTATAAAATTTGTATATAATATATGCTTGTATAAAATATTTCGTTATCAAACTGTAGTACATAGCAATATGAATCATGAATAAAAAAGACATCGGCAAGGCAGAATTATATAATACAATTAGCGACTCACAGTACCGGATATTTTTTTTCATCGCGGGAAAATCAACCCTGGGGATGCAAGATTTATAGGTACGTCCGTTCTCGTTCTACGAATTATCTCGACGTCGGTTGACGTGGCCGGGAACGAACGAATATTAGTGGCTTAACGATTTCCCGGTCTAGGACAACGCCTATGTTCTGTACCTTCGATCTTAATTAACACTTAAGGAACATTACGAAGCGTTTCATTAATCTGTTATTTCACGAGCTATTAAAAGTAGTATAGTGTACTCTGTTATAAATAATAACATAATTAACAGGAATAATGAAACAGCGGGTAGAAGCATTCCCTTCGGAATGGCGAAACGTTAGCATTAAGAGCTAAGTAAATATTTAACGCATTTATATTATTTTACATAGCGTCTAGTAGCAGATTGGGTATTTACTGTTTTAATTAACGGTGTTTCAACGAAGGAACTGACGAAGTATGCTCGAAAAATGAAAGAATATAAGTCAAAACGGTAGATGCAGGCAGGTACGGAAATAAATTTTCGGCGAAAATTGAAGTTTAAATAGTTTTACGTCAGGAACAGCTTAACGAGAATTTTAATTATCGTTTATACAGTGGCGCACATGTGTCATATTACAATAGCACCTAAAAATTACTTTCAGAAGATCTCAAGAGAACTTTCCTCGGAATTGATTTGCGTAATCTCTAGTCGATTTTTAAAGTATTAGGTGTCGCGGTTTCCGTTTCATTTTTTTTTAATCGAAAAATTCGATTTCCGCCCGTCTTTCTGGTAATATCTACGTAGCTTCATGAAAATTATTGATAAGCTACTTTATACAATTTTTCGATACAACTTAGTATCTTTCTTAGATTTTTGTCCACATTTATGTATACGTATACACAATTTGTAACGCAACTGAAGCCAGTAGCAACTTGTGAACTCGAACTATTTAGACGGTCGTTCGATCAAAACTGTATTTTAATTGCGATGGAAACTCGGTTAGAAATTTGCGAAACGGGGTAAACTTGTCGCGAACTCTTTTTCTCTATTGACTTACTCCCTGAGAAGCAATTAAATGCAGTATTGCGACGTCGCGTCGTCGACAGTGTTGCTCACAACATTTCCGTAAATGGAGAGCTAACTTGTTTACCAATCATGAATTGGTGTAACGCGATTACCTCTGGTAATACGGTTAGTAATCGGTTGATGAAATTTTCACTTAATGTGACGTCTTCAAGCCTCTAATGAGATTTTTTCCAAACGGGACTTGGCTGCCGCAAACTTATTATCCATATTTCCGAAGCTTTCAACGGCGAACAAATATTTTTTAATTAATCCATAAATCTGTATTCATTTAACGAAAACATTGATTGAACTCCAGTGTAGATTAAAACATATTTATTTGGAAAATAATAACAATAATAATTATAAAAAAAAGGTTGACCAAACGTATGAGTACCTACTTAATTAAAATATTAATTAAGTAGTATTTTACATTTAGACTTTCATGTTTGTAATGCAGAGAAAAGCTCCTGTAAATTATTTAAATATAATCCAGCAATACATAATAAATACGAAAGTGTGTAAACATTCATTGCAATGTACATAATTTTATAGAGTATAAGAGTAATGTTTCATCTCCTGATTTTTAAGCGAATTTTTACCTCAATTGACTTCAATGGTTTATTTAGATTGTAGTTAGTAATTTGATCAAGCCGAGATCAACTGTGCAGTTCAGATTGAATTGGAGTTAAGGAAAATGCAGGACACGCGGTCGACAGTTTTTAAAAAATTGATTTACCATGAAACGGGAAGGAGATGCTCCCTTTCAGTAAAAAAGTTTTATTCTACATTTTCATCATCTGTCCGTGATCATCCGTATTCCCTGTCGCGTGTAACGTCACACGGGATATTTCTGTGAAAAAGATGAACGGACTCAAAGGTCAGAATCGTTTTATGCCGACTATCAAATGAAAAATGTATTCATGAACATTTTTCGCCAATTTTCATCGCTCCCTCTAATTATGACCTTTCATCGTGCCAATTCCTAATGCACACAATCAGTTAGAATGTTAGAAACGAGATACTTTTTTCATTCTTTCATTTACACTTAATTTTACTATTAACATTTCACTAATAAATAATATTGTATTCCTTTAAACTAAAAAGATATAAATGCATGAAGTGCGCAATTTAGCTCTGCGAAAGTGCAAATTCAATCGGTTGTCTTAATTGGACGATCAGATATTTATTACGCTAGTAAAGGTTCTAATGACAACGTTTTCACTGATTGGATTACACGAGCCTTATTTCAGAGAATCTTCATCAATCCGTTACGCTCGACGTTTTTTAAATAATCACCGTCGAAACGTCAACCGTGGAGTGAATTCAATTTCGAACGGCAATTCCCGTGTTTGCATGACGAACGCGTAAAATCGATAGCGCACACATACACGAGGGCATTTTCTTCGCTAATGGCGCACTGCAAATGTAGACGTCGTATATTGAAAAAGCCTCGTGCTATTTGCCCTATTACTTGCAGGTGAATAATTGACGAGTATGTTTAGAGGAAAGCTACGTATCGGTTTCATCTTTTCACTCGTTCGATTTGGCACTGGCGTCTGAAGCAGAGAGATTAGGGTCATAGTTGCCAGTGCTTCAGCCGATTGGCAACATCAGTTAACGAAACGTTTTAAATATGCAGAATATCTTTAGTACAAATAACTCGACATGAATAACGACAAAAGTATCGGCAATTAATTACAAATAAACATTTCATTATCAGTATTATTTATTCAACTTTAAAATAGCTTGTAAATTACAGTTTAATAAAAATTGAAAACTGTAATTAACAAAAGAAAATTGCATGTTTCATGATCTTGATATCTTGAGTTCTGTTTCAATCGTTAGACGTCACAGCATTCTATGCACATACCTCGGTTTAACTAACATTCAGGCCAACCGGTCGCATGCGACAAGTTTTATGCTAATTCCGTTCGATTACAATATCTTTTTCGCGTTTACAAGAAACGACGAGACGAGTTGCGTGCCTCCTGCACCGTCCAAGAAACCACAACATTCCTAACACTCTATTGTAAGTCAAACCGATCTACCGAACCGAACCATTGTTGGATCGTATCAGCTGTGCGAAAATAGAATATGTAGAACGCGTCCTTCTACAGTTTATGAGTTAGGCAAAGTATGCAGCTGATCGAAGACTATGAGTCGACATAAATCACATTTGTAACATTTACGTTAATATTAGATGTCCAGGGAAAGTCTTTGATCACAATTATAGGCAAAACTATTCTTGATATCTAACATTTTGCTTGAACATAGTTAACCAGTCCAGTACTAATCGTGACTCGTGACTATAAAATTTACGAAATCGATTTAAACTTTACAACACTTCTTCAGACTTTGCTTCACTTCACTATTGTGGTAAAAAGATATTACAGACTGTGTATGTTACTAACGTATACCGTTGCCGTAATGTAAACTCGGCTATTAAACATGCTGAAACAATGATGCTGGAAGTGGAAAAGAAAGGAAAAGAACATGACACTTGAACTGAATTCCGGATTCGTGTTTCCCCGTTGCATGCAGCTCTTTGTTCGCGCTCGCTTTCCGCGATTTTCACGTTACAATGATAATCGGCGCTCGCGTGGCGCGGAATTGGCCTACAAATAATAACCGCGCTTGGTTACTCGCGGTGGAATGCACCGCGAGACGCGTGAGTCCATTACAGCCGGTATTGAATTTTCCACTGATAACTGAAAAAGTATAACTGAGTTGAAAAACATCATCGTTGCGTATCCTAAGAAACGGAAATTCTGTTCGGTTTGTTATACCGAGTGTCGCAATTTTAATCTTCAATAATTTGTTTTATGAGTAGAAACGAATATGATTTTTATGCTTTCGATCACTGAATTCTTTGCATATGAAGATATGCAATAACTTCTTTAATAGGATAGCAAAATTTCTAAAATTTTGGACAGCGTTTTATTAATACAATATCTAGTAATTGTTAAAATTTTAAAGCTTTGTCATTGTTTTTACGTAAGGGTTCATACAACTTTCAAACATTTTTTTCTAGTATCGAGTTATATCTACGTTTATTCTTAATTCTTCTTTTCTGAGTCGTTGTGCTCACACAGTCGGCGCTGTTTACTTTTTTGTTCCATTGTTCGAACAACGAGCTGTTGTAGGAAATCCATTCCTTTGGATATGTGGCCATGCTTGGTCCCGATCGGTGGCCACATGTCCGGATATTATTGCAAAATGCATCTATATTTACAATTAAGACTAATTTGTTCACTGATCAAAACTCATATAAACAGCCTTAATATCATTCCATTAGCTCATAATTTTGTGTGCTTACTTGATGTTCATCGATTAAAAGCTCGATGGATTTGTTTGTATGTTTAGAGGTGCAAAAAGTTCCGAGTAGGCGAACGATGCTGCGAGTTTGAGTGTTTGGATAATACGGACACGACCGGGCCGGATCTAATAATCGCTGCTGGTTCATCCAGGATTCAGGAGCAGGGAATAGCCTGGCTGCTGGGTTTAACGGTGCTACTTACGGCGCTGTAAATCTGCTACTGAGAGAAGATGTCGACGGCCACTGGGAATAGGGAAAGGTACGATATCGTTGACGTAATAAGAAAATCATGAACGTGTCAGATTTATGTTTCAAGAATCGAAACGATTCGTATTTAATGATTAATAATAAAATAATTATCAGTTTTCATTCTTAATCCTGTTAAGTAATTAAATTATCATATTTACTATGATTTTAACTTGAATAAACTTCAAAGACAGTTAAAATGTCTATGTATTATTTCGTATCAATGAATTTACATAAAATATTGTTACATAGTTAAAATCAATATAAATTTTGTTAATTTCCATGTAGATGCTAAAGTAATTATTGCGCCGTGTCAATAGTTGGTGTACCTCAATTGAGTACACGTAGGTAACTGAAAATTGTATTAACGTTCATAATTTCAATATTGCGTCGACGATACGTAGTTTATGGTGAAAAACCGCGAACTATGCCTCGGGGATTAGTGTGTTATTTAGGAGACAAACATAATAATCGTGTCTGTTTCTTTTTGTTCATGACGTACATTGTTCGTCGGTCCCGATTTATGAATTAATAAGACGAGCTTATATCTCGAGCGAAGCTGAACCGAGAATTGAGTTGTTTCCGCGCGATAGCGAACGAATAGGAAAAACTGTGATGAGAAGGATGTAACAATGGAGAAACGTAATTTTTTATTCCATTGTTGAATTTCGTTGTGATCCGGATTCCTCGTTTACGTTTCCATATTTCGTTGATACACGTGAGATAGATATAACATTAGAATTATATAGAATATTCTGTTCGCCCTCTCTTTGGTGCTAATAACGATAATGTTGATGAAAGAGAGAGTTGTTGACACGCGTAGAACGAAATTCTATTTTCAACAAGAATCACACGTAACTATTTTGTTTACGACTAGTAAAATGTAATTAATCGATAACGGAATGACGAATAAACAAATGTAAGATAAGAAGTAGATTAATGGTTACGAATATTTGTATAATCGTCGAGTGACGTGCAGGAATAGGAAAAGAAGTTACGTCTTCAGTATCGCTTCTTAACCCCGAGCTTTACGACTTCCTTGATAGCTACGTTTCGAACTTACCTATTTCCATAGATTCGCTAACGAACGATAAAATATTGGTCTGCAAACTTAAAATTAAAGTCCGAACGAAAGTTTATCACGCGAGTGCTCCCCACTATCTCGCCCCGAACATAACTTATACTTTGTACCGTACATATTATTCAAAGTTACAAAGCAAGGGGTTAAGCATCAACGATAAGAACTTCTGGAAGGAAATTATCTATACTCTAATCGCAAGAACTTTGATAACTAGGCTGCGGATTTTACGCATTTATAGGAAAATTGAGTGAGCACAACATACAAGTATTGCATCTAATAAGTAACAATATACGAAACATCGAAAACAATGTGCAATATTTAAATGGTGAAAAGAATTTTGATATGAAACTCATTATTTCAATTGATGCCATAAGTACTTTACTTTGCATGAATCCGCAGTCTGTTAATAACGATAATTCCTCTTATCGAAGAATACGCAAGTATACAGCTATAACATTTATTCGGTCGCGAAGACACTCGAAGAGAGGAAGAAGATGAAGTTTAATAGCGCTTTGTGCCAAAGCACACAACGCTTGAGACAGTCACATTGCGAGTCCGAGTTTCAACAACGATGAGAGATCGCGGAACCAATTTAGACTAGACGAAACGCTCTTCAGACAACGATATCAGAGGGATCAAATCAGTGAACGAAGCGTCGTTCTTTGGAACATGAAAATTTCATGGACTCTACTATAAAACATTTTACGTGGACGCGTTGCCGGGAGAATTAACCCTTAGAGAATTAAGGCCAATCTCTCCAAGTTCAATAATTTTTTAACACGATAGAGCTGTGATTCTGACCAAGTTTTTCTTGACACGTTCTCTCTATACTGAATGTGCAATATATTTCACTTGTAGCCATGCTGGACAGTTTACATTACATATTGTTTGAGATTTATCTATCGTATGACATTGCATGTATTTATGTTTCACAAAGGGTTTAGACATTCTGTGATTTCAAAGGATTAATTTTGTTTATGAATGAAACATGAGCGCATTGTCATATTACACTTGAAATTTAATTCAAAACTAATACAAAATTCATTCTCAACTCCTATTATTTTTCAGTGACCTTTTATTATTCTAAGATTGGAAATTAGTCATTTACTGAAATTAGAGTTTGAAAACTATATATATAGTATGATTGGGAATTTTTGTAAATGGAAAAGAGCGTTCAGAATCACGCAATCCAACATATCTGAACATGATTGAAATCGGAGAAGTTGCTCTCTGTATATTGAGTACCCTAAACGAAGGGAAAAGAGTATAAATAATATCCCCGTTACGACTTCCCTAGGTGATTCTAAACTTTTTTAAATGCAGAATAGTGTACGCACGCTACTAGCCGTAAAGAAAGGGTTAAGAGCTCCCAGAGAGCGGCAGCGTCCTAACATTTTATAGAGCGTTTTATTTTTTTATTTAGTTCAGCATTGCTGATTGTGATAGAAGAATGAGGAACGTTTGGAGAAGTTTCAAGGTAGGCAACCCCTATATCCGTCGAGTGGACCGTTCGAATTTCGATTGAGATTATCGGTATATCGACTTTGACGCTCCAGCACCCCTGCCTCTTTTCAAGTTCACCGCCTACGAGACACGGCTGAACGAATAAACTCTTTTGAAAATTCCTTTTTGAATTTTCATTGAGCGCTAACGTCACGAGGAATTTTTTAAAGATATTTTTGGGTGTTAAACGATCAAAGAGTTCTCTTGATTAATTTAATGTTTAACTTACGCAAATATTAGTACCTTTAGTCGTTAGATATATCTACATTAAATTCAATTATTTTAATATCTTCAGGATTTTCAATTACATGAAGTCATTATTATATATCTCATGACTAATCGATGTTAAAAGTGAACTCGAAGATTTAAATTCATCATTTTTAATAACATCTTCCTTAACTCCTACCGGTACGATTTAATAATAAACCCAATGACGAGTTAGACTCGTCATTTTACCGGAAGGGGTTAATTTATTTGAGTGAAAAAGTACATGCGATATGTTGCGAGGTATGGAAGATTGAAGATGAATAAGAAACGCAGGCTCGACTTTCGGTGCTTTTGAAGGGACGTGATTAAGTTCACATCTGGAATTGCGTTTTTGTCCGGAGCGAGGCTGACCGCACGCTGTTGAAATAATGAGTTAATTCTCGGTCCTAACTTCCAGCAAACGAGGTGCTCTAATCTCCGAGAAGTTTGTAAGACTGCTTACGATGCCAGTTCCGTCTGTACATTAGCCGCTCAATTTTCTAATTTATCTGTGACACCCTATTTTGCTTAGCAGTTCTATCCTGCCATAAGAATGATAATATCCATGGAAACAAATTATATATGGAAGAAACAAAATAAAATGTTTATAATGTCAATGTTAAAAATTAAATTTAGATAAAAATATACTTCTAAATTATTTAATTAATTATCTTATAAAATAGTAATATACGTTTCACTTTATTTTGATTTAATATTACATCGATTTCTTATATTTTCTATAGATAAAACTTTTCTATAATATTCGCAATCTATTTATGATAATAATTAATTGCAAGAATTGATGGGTCCTGTGCTATAATCATTTGCCAAGAGTTTACCAGGAATTTTTCATCGGGGAATGAGACTTACTCAAGATAATGATTCCCTATTTCAAAGTCCTACTACTGATCAAAAAATAGTTGAAGATCTTTCACGATTTCCGTTGAACGATTTTTCAATTGAGGGTTCAAGTATTCGAGGAACGCGCATTCCAAGTCTCAGGGCAAGTCGTTAATGATCAGCTGAAGCATTTTTTGTCGGGACCATTTCCCAAGGGAACCAGAACATTTAGCAAATTTTCTTTACCACCTTAATATAAAGCTTCTAATTCAATTCAATTCATGACGCGTAATAAAATAATAATAAATAAAGCTTAACGCCCAATGTTCGAAATGCTACTGTACGCAATGTACAAAATGTACAAGACGATCGTTCTTCTATTTTTATTTTATAAATGTTCTTATTCAATGTAATATTATGCGTTGGTCAAAAACTTTGTGTCGATGATAGCAGACAAGACTTATGTGCCTCTCAATTAAAGGAATTTAAAAATATGTGTATTGTACAAGAAGCAGATTTTGATTCTCGTTTCTCCCAAAGTTTTAAGAGCAAAAATTCGCCTCTGCTCTTTTCGCAGTCTGACCGTAAAAAATGAATTTTTTAAAAAACGAGGCGGAAAGTCGAGCCACAAAATAATTGCGTGCGCACGCACGAAACGGGATAGAATCGCAAATCACGTGGGGGTGGAGGCGAGTGTGCTCGGTGAAATTCGTGCCACTTGACGCGAGCGGATTCGCTCGAAAAGGAAAACTGGTTCGGTTGCCAAGGCCGTAAGTCGCTTAATTAATTCCGATCCAATCCATCCATTGTCGTTCGATGGCCTACGCGTTCCGGACGACCGAACGTATTTCACGGCGAGTGAAAGAAATGAAACAGAATCCAGCCCTGCGAGCGGACCATAATCTTCGGCATACTTGGTAGACTGCGGACTTTTATGCAAAATAGAATTTTTCTAATGTCGATTTAGTAAAGAAAATTTAAATTGTGATTCCCTCTGCCTATTTAAGATAACGATGTCTAGTTCTTTCACGATCTTGCACATTGTATATTTTCTTAATGCATGAAATCCGCAATCTAATAGTAAAAAGCTAAGCTATGCAAGAAAATGGTTTATACGGTTTATCGTAAAGTTTATGGACTTGATAAAAGAGAAACAACTTACATTCGAACCGAGTCATTTTAATCACCATGGTACTAGATTTTAATTTAGTCCTAAGAAGTGGTATTTGAAAACCAATTTTAAATTAGGTGATACTACGTGTCTCTTTAATCTAAAAAATTGTCTGATAAGCTGTGTACATTATATGAAGTAGGATGAACAAAAATTATTCGAAAGATTGAATTTAACCCTTGGATGATATGCTTAAAAGAAGCTAGACATGCAAGAATGTTCGGTTCTATTAAACGAAATAGGAGTTTATAATTCATTAAATGAGGTTCTTTTAAGTTTCTTTCGAAGCAGACTTAATGTACTTTACAAACTTTTAGCCTCGGTACAATATTAATGAATCTCTTTGATATAGTACCTTGGTCTACTGCGTACGTCGAATCCATGTTTAATATACGAAAGCTTTTTTTACTTATCGTCCGTGAGAGATTGAAAAAAATACGAGTGCTACATCGTTGAATGCTCTTTGCTTCAAGGGTTAAATCTCGGTCGTCCTTGACTCGACGATATTTTCACACGATTATACGTAAGTTATGCGCTCACCTAATCGAAACTTTTAATCTTTCAAATGGGCGGCCGTATAAATGAAACCATCTGGCAACTCCTTTGACCTGTAAAAAAACTTTCCAATGATTTTACTCGTACGAAGAAATTCTAACAATCGTTACACGTATGCATGGATTTTATAGATAACTATTGTCACTCGGATCTCTTTGTATCATAGGGGCAGTATATTTTTCATCATATGTTAAAATCCACAGTATATAAAAAATAAGTGATTCTATTCATATAAAAACCCTTTGGAATACAGGCTGAATCAATAAGAATTATCATATGAAACAAACAAACATAATTTTATAACAGGCTGAGCAAGTATTATTTAAGTTTAAATACAAGGACATGGTCATTTGATAAGCTAAATCAAATATAAAATTCATGCGAAACGAAATAAATTAATTAAACTATGCAATAATTAATTATTTCGTATGACTATTGTTACTGATTCACTCTGTATATCATGAATTGCCAATGTTAACATGTCTGTGCTGGCACAGTAAATAAACGCGCTTTGACGCACTCATTGTCAGAACCATTTAACCAAGAACAATATTTTCTATGTGTACAAACGTGTACATTAAACGATGCACATAACATACATACATATGTATAATTCGTGCAACAGGAACAGTCCAAAAGACATTTATCTATTACAATTTGAGAGAGACATATGTATAGTATAGTATATTCACTACCTATTCATCTTGTAACATCTTGTAATTTCGTATTCAGAATATCTAGTCGCTAAGCTCGGGCGTCGTGTATGGTACGTCGATTGACAATGAGTAGCGTGTTCAATTAAATTTAATATGAAACGTGTCGCTCATTTGCTGCGTTAATCATGGGTACATCGTTAAATCATTTCGTTCTCCAATTAATGATAGAATATAATCGGTTTAAAATAACTGTTAAAATACACATATAACATCGTTTTACATTGAAATTGTTAACATTGTTTTAATTCAGTATCATGTTATACCATTTTGGCACTTTGATACGAAACAGCAGTGGTTCAAATAGCAGGGAATGAGCGATACAGTAGCCCGTTGATTAGACGAATAGAATTTTAAATGACGCGAGGGTTGCAGCGGACTCAATTTTAATATATCACGATTGTACGTGTTCATTGACAGTCTAATTCTCTAATCTCTCAATCTTCTTTCTTCTTCCAAACCATTCTTCTTCTCCCGATTATACGTATGCAGCATAAGCGATTTCTTGATAACAGAATCACGCGCGAAGTTCGTTTCAGTGACCATTAGAGTTCATTTATATTAATGGCTGCAGCTGCAATCATGGTCAATCGCGAACGCGACGCGTGGACGTGAAGATTTAATATTTATTAATCGCGTTAAACGCAGCAAGCTCTCTGAATCAATTACGGAGACTCAATTACGCGTAATTCTAGTGTAATTTAATTGTTACCACCCGAACCGCAGTAGGATTGAAATGCGAACTATCGCGCATTAGTAGTTTGTGCGAAACGTTTGATTGACCAAATTGTGGCCAAGTGATAATAGCATAACGTACATTTGGAGCTCGTTCCGTGACGGGTCTAAATTACGCTAATGAATCATTAATTATCCTGCAGCTTCCATCCAATTACAAGATACAGATTAACGATTCTTCTGGTAGACATATGTATACACCTCCGTTTATAATATTTTGGACATATTACAAATAGACGTCGGATTTTTCCATGACATAACGAGTTTAGGATATCAATGTAAAAGGTATTGTGTGTTACCCATGCACTAAAGCGAACGTATTAAACCGGCTCATCCAGCTCGAGATTTGTTTACAAAAACTAACGGAACATCGAGTCGCAGTCTTTTCACCGAACAATGAATTCTTGATCGCGAACATCGTTAACATGGGAGTAATTGGTTCCCTTAAAGCTTTCGATTTTCATTTCTCTTTCGTCATTGTATATTCGAGCGTTAATATTTGAATTGCAGAGCAGACCGAAGGTACGCGGCCCGGCGTACGCCCAGATATACAGATATAGGCAGGAACTTTTTCTTCTCGTCGAACGAACACGCTCTCCTCCATTGAATTATTAAAACCGAGTCACCTTTTTAAGCTCGACGATTTAATTTCACCCTCCGAGCTCGCGACTTTATTCCTCACGTGCCGGGTCATAGAATGTGTACTCTAAATTTTCAATCTCATCGCTTAACACGATTCCCGAATGAATATAATGAACAGTGCACTGTGACGTAAATGTGTTAAAGAATGTGGGACGGCATGTCCAAGGTTTTTAAGTATTTTGATTTGTTAAGACAACGATAATACATTCACATAATACATAAGCACGAAGAAAAACGAGCATTATATAACACAGTCCCACGCTCACAAATATACTGACGTTTTTGGCATCTTTAAATATACGCAGAATTTTTAACCAACAGCATTTTGAGAAGTCAGTGTATTTTAATTTCTACACAATTATTCATGCATGAAAACTATAACAGAAATTGAGAGCAGATGTTTAGTAAGACGGAAATCTCGTTTCTTTGCTTTGCATTTCGCGTAGAGATAATTTTGATTACAATGGAGTTAACAAGTGTAAATTGCGCGAGTACATACATACAATTATCTCGGTTTCTTGCGTCGCTCTCGGCGCGACTCCACTTTTTGTTCCGCAAGGATCGCGTCTCGTTTCCGCGCCCACGCCCGTCGAGCACCGTTTCACACTCGGTACACACTGTTCACCGATTTTAACCCTCCGTTACGCGACGAGTTCCCGAAGAGCGAGCCTGAAAATTCGTTTTTCTTTCTGAGAAAGCAAGTTCCAACGTTACGAGTTTCTCAGTTTTTCCGTGTTACTTACCCGCAACACGCGAGTAGTTTTTTAAACTGTCGTCAAAGATCAACTTTCTCTCGCAAATATTATCTGGCGGAAGTTGTAGAAAGTCGCGATGCTGAGAACTTCGAAAAGTAACTTTACTTAGAATCTTGACAATCACGTGTGTACATCCTCAGAATTAAATTTGAAATAAATCAGAGTGGATTCGAAATATTTTTAAACGTTCTTTTCCAATGATTGAAGTTAGAACGATTTGTGTCGCTTGCAAACGAAAACTGAAGGCTGTGAACGCGAAAACAAAAGGAAATGGATATAGGAATTCCGCTATCGCGGAACGATGAGAAATAGTATCTCCGGATATGTCCTCTGAAGGGCATAGAATTGTCAGGAGATTATGCTGTAAATGGAATTGGAAACTGTCTGGCCTAAAAAGATTAAGCTCGGTTAAATTGAGCCATGAGACGTTTTACAAAGGCTAGAAAGCTTCTACTGAATGTCTGGTAAAACTGCTATATATTACAGGATAGTCTCGGAACTTATACATATATGGAAACATCGGTATTAATATTTCAAAAGCTGTAGCTGTAAATTTCTTTATTTCTTCTAACAATTATGTTTTTTTAACATTTTAATTGGCGATTATTATTCTCATTATTGTTGTCAATGGTATGACATTCCTAAAATAAAGACAAAATATTTGACATGTATAACGTGGAAGGGAAACGAATCAAATCCATTTTAATTTTGTAACGTGATATCAGAACCGCGTCCATCAAATGTTGTCCAAACTGATTGCTTGATAAATCGATATCTACACGTAGGAAAACCCTCGACAATCCTCTTGCTACCAGTCGAACGAAAACCACGTATACACTGTGGAAACTCTTCTAGTGCTGGTAATAACATCTTCAATTATATTGCCATTTTTATTGAACCACGTACCCTTGTATTTTTCTATTAGATTCTTCTATCTTCCATTATGTTACCATTTTGATATCTTATCAAGTATGGTGTTGCGAAAAAGATCGAATAATAGTTTAGGAAGTCGTTAGAAATATTGATGGATTTGTATTTACGTTGTGTCAATTTGTGGCTACATTGATTATAATTAGACTGCAGAATTTATGCATTTATAAAATATTGAATGTGCAGAAAATATCATAAGTAAATACATATTGCAATGCTTAAATGATAAAATCTGTATCTATACATTAATAAAAAGAAAATCTGAAATACATGCATTTCTTAAACTGATTACCATTTCAGTTTTATTTTTCATAGTAATCCGTCCGCAGTCATAATATTTCGTATAATCGAATTTCAAATCACGACACAAATCGGATTAGCGATACGTCGATTTTGTTTCACACAAGGAATCCCACTTAATGTGTTGAATAACGGCGAATCTGTTACTGGATTGTTGCGTAATCGATGGACACCAGTTTTGTTAGTAGTAATCCGACGGGTTCGAGGGAGTTATACACGAGCGCAACAATTCGTCCTCTACACTCTATCCAATTATCATAAAACCCGTTATACGAGTAATCTCTGTTGGTTCGGTTACGTTAAAGAACTATGGCCGGTATTCAGAGTCGTTACTTATTTTTAAGATCGCCTTAAGCATTTGCTTAAGTCCCTGCTTCCTGCACACAGCAGGAACTGGAAATATAGGATAGACAGGGATGGGAAATGCTTAAGACGATCTTAAAAATAAGTAACGACTCTGAATTTGGAACTTTGTGACGAAACACTCTTACACGATACTCGATCTACAAATGACCAAACCCGATATCATAAACTAAAGAATCTTTCTTCGATCAATTCGTATTTAAATATAAATTCCATGTACTGTACGTTCACTCTTGTTTGACTGTACATGTATGTTTTACGATGTGTATGGTCTAACTACCGAAATTCACAGAAATAGCTTTCTAGTATTCGCTGTTCGTAAATTTGTCAAAGGAATTGTCAAAGTTAATTGAAGCTCCTCTGGCTCTGCGCGTACTGGGTATCAATTAATCGTTTACTACGAACCTGCGTTTAACTATAGACGAGCTTAAAGCGCAGAATGGATTATGCTACGAGGATGGTCCGTATCAATTTCATTCTTTCGTTTATACTCTTCGTTCATGACATCCGTTGTAAATAAGAATAATTCATTGTAAATTGAACATGTTCGGTTCTTTCGGGCATTACATTTTCTTGTTTAATTGATAATATACGGGATTTGTCAATGAGAATTGTCATCTAAACTAAGCTGTTGAAAATCCTTAGAAGAATTATCAAAATTTCGGTAAAATATAAGAATGTATTCGATAAAGTATAAAATGCGTATAATACATCTTTTAATCGAATCAAAGAAGAATCATTTGTATCATACGTTCATTCTTATTGATTTACCCCGTACACATGGCATAGAAATTGTTCTGTTTTAACGATGATAAATATTAAGTATCTGAATCATTTCCCAAGTCTAATGCCTAGGAAGAATCGACTATCAGGCGTGACGAACTGGCGTACAGAGTTTCCGATACGAATGACAACCAGCAAATCCTGCATACATTACAGATTGATAAATGGCGGATAGTCTGGTTAAATTTAAATCGTAGGTATATGGACGCATTGCAGATTTCGATCAGAGCAAATTTAATATTGGAACGACGGTGTGAGATAGCGAAAACGTATCGGGGTTAACATGGACGTGACTTATGCTCTCCTCGAGCTTCCATAGTGGAGACAGTTCTTTGTTAATCGACATTAATTGACCAATTTCTCTAAGCTTGTAACTTCGAATCAACATCTATGTGTAAAGAAAGTTAATCAATCTATCTGAATGTAAATACGTAGATCGATAGCTTTAATATTGCTACGATGTGTAATCTATTGTCATACCTTTTGATGAAATTACATACATCGTTTGATCATCGAGGGGCCTTTCATGTATGAGTCATCTTAAATCCATTATGATAATTTACTTGAACGATATTAAAAATATTTCAAACGAAAGTGTCCGATTCTTTACCCTTAAATATCCCTTTATATTATTATATACAATGGTACCTCGGTAAACGATCTTAATCCATTCCTGATATTTGGACATATACCGAATAAAGCGTATATTAAACCGTCTACCGAGTAAAATTTGTCACGTCCAAACAGGACGTATTCCAAAACCGTCCGAAGTACCACTGTATTCCATTTCTAGGTGAAAAATAATTTTAGGGCGATTTTTTTTTTGTATCATTTTATTTTTATTAATATATTATCTACCTTTACATACATATATAAATAAAGAATTGTGAAAAATAAAGAAGTATATAATTTCTGAATGACATACATGTGAGTGAAATATACGCAAAAGCGTTACCCTATATTTAAAAAATGCTTTGCGTTTTACTGTGTTAACATTTTTTATAAATGGTTTCGTATAAGTCGGTACGTCTTTGAGAGAACGTAGGTATCCGAGCCCTTACTTCCTCCACAATCTTCAGATCTGAAATAAGTAATGAGAAATTCGATTCTAAAGATGTCTTTATGTATAAAAATCTCTGTGACCCCACAAAACAATTTATAGAATACGAAAGGGGACATAGACGTAAGTAATGACAAAGACGTAATAAGGAGGTCAAGAGCATAACAGTATCGAGTATCATTCGACAAACTTGTACAAAAGATAAGAGTTTCCTTTGAAACTCGGGCTATTAAAGAATACTATAATATGCAATGAAAGTATCGGGTCACGAATAGTCGAATCGATAAATTAACGAAAGCAAAAATTAATTGGACGCCGGGTCTTCCAATTTCAAAGTGGAAATTACCAATATCGGCGACGACCATCCCTTCCGGGGTATCTAGATCGTGAAGGATTTCACCCCAGGGACTCGTTAACTGCGTATGACCCCAGGCGATGTAATCGGCCGTAGGACTACGAGCTGGTGATATGCACGCGACATATAATTGATTGTCATTCGCTCTGGAACGCTGAAGTAATGACCAATGCAATGGTCCAGTGGTCATATTGAATGCAGCCGGATATATCAGCATTTGGCAACCTAGTCCAGAAATATGAAGCCACTGAATACCGACTAAATTCTCAGATAATTGACTTTTGTATCGAAAACGATGCTTGTACCAGCTTCTAATTCGTCTAACATTTTACATTTCTCATATTTTGTGTATCTATTTTATAATATAGCAATCTATCCTTGTAAGTAAAATACAACGCGTTCTATAGTTAAATAAATTATTGTTGGAAGTATCGAAGTGTATTTATGCGTAAGCAACTCGATTAAATTACTGTACCTTTGTTCCGGTAAATTCGAGCCATTTCCTCGAACCTAATATCGTAGCAAATGCCGATACCTATTTTACAACCCTTCACTTCGATCGTCGTCAAAGAGCTACCAGAGCTGAGTACTTCGCTCTCGCGGAAAGTAATTTTATTAGGAATATCGATATCGAACAAATGTACCTAATAATATAAATACATAAACGCTAATTACGTTTTATAATCGTCGTCTGCGATCTCATTATGGAAAATATAGATACTATCATAGATAATCGAATGCAAGCTACGCAATATTTCTTATTTAAGTTATCTTTGTTACGCATATAAAATGATCTCTAACAAGATTTTTATCAGCAGTTGCACATCAATTAAAAATATTTCTTATACTATTTTCCCCAATTTGGATAAAAACATGTGCATTACTTACCTTCCGATGCACCGCTACCAGATCTCCTTTAGGATCCCACACGGTGCAGGTGTTGTACAACTTATCACCAGCCTTTTCAGGTATTGTACCACCAATCACATAAATGCTATTGTCTTTAGCGGCTTTCGATAAAGCTGCGCTTGTTACGCCGTCAGGAATGGTTTCACAATATTTTGGGAAATATTCTATGTTTAAGTATGAAATATATTTTATATGAAAATGTATTTATAGTGAATTCGAAAAACTGTTTTACTTCTTTTTAAATTTTCGATCACTGGAATAGTTAATGTTTCCAATTTATTGAAACAAAATGTAATCTTTTTATTTCTAGAACAAGTATTCTCTTCATTAAATAACTGATTTAGATTTGAATTATTTGAAACGGGAAGGAATTTAAAATTTTACGACGCGCCAATTTTGAATATCCGCGAAATGGAAAAATGTGCACATGCGCATTTTTCAATCATAAGAGATTAATGATATTGTCTTACAGAATTGAAACGTTGTAAAGAAAAGGAGAAATATGTATATTTACGTATGCCATATGGAGAATTGAAGCATTCTGGAAGCGCAACAATATCAGCGTTCTTTTGTTTCGCTTTTGAAATATAAGAAATTGCTCGCTCTATATTGTTAGCTTTGACTTGGTTAACTTCCAGCTGTACTAGCGCTAAACTGAGTGCTGTAAAAAATAATTAAAATAGGTTGAACGCATAATTTTATATTTTTTTCATATAATGTATTTATTATTTTTCATATTTATACTTTTTTCATGTTATTGATAGTATTTTAAATTCGTTTTATACTTACTCGACATTTTTCGTTTCAGTTGCTTAACGATGTTCATAATATTTTTAGGTTATGTACTGTATTGGTCTATATTGCATATGTAAGCAAGTCACATGATGACAATGCTATGATAAAACAACAATTTTTTATAATCAATTTGTTTTCTACATTATTTTCAACCCAGACTGTTTCCCACATTTTTGTCTGAATTTTATTTTGAAAACTACGATAAGATATAGCAATAAAAACTAAATGGAATTCGAAAACATTGAAGAAATGAAATTATCTGGAATTTTGTAAAATGTAAAAAGTAAAAAAAAATATGAATGAATTTAAGAAAGCAGTATACAAATGACGTTGATATAAATAAGACTGCAGATGATGGGTTATGAAGTATTAAACGGCACTAATTTGTACTGATTGTATTTTACATGAAGGATGAGGAAAAAATGATTGTGTAAAAAATATCTTTTATTACAAAACGTATAGAAACAAAATTTGTACAATTTGTCACGAAAGTAAAATTTATCGCCTAGTGGAAGATCTTGATCTCGATCTTCCATGTTTCTTGTGTTTCCGTCTATCTGTATAATCTCTTGATTTTCTATCTTTAATCTTTTCTTTTTCTTTATCCTTTTTCTTGCGTTTCTTACTTGACTTTTCAGGCGAATGCTGCCTCTTATGCTTCTTAGATTTTTTTGATTTCTTTGATTTGTAAGTACCGCTACTACCAGAACTGCTCGTTCTTTTTCGTATTTTTGTGTGATCATCATCACTATCGTTGTCAGAATCTGTCTGCACTTTTCGTATTTTTGTTTCTCTACTGTGTGACGTATTCCTTTTCTTATTTTCATCTACACTATTCTTGTGATCATCTTGATCAGAGTCACCCGAATGTTCAGATGACTTTCTCTTCCTCTCTGGGTTTTGTTTCTGTTCCTTAGATTGTTTATCCCTATATTCTTCATACTTCTTCACATCTGAAATTAATGCCATAAAATACTAAAGGCCAATCCTCTATGTTTATCTCGATTTGTATAAAAATTAGAGGGACCCTTAAAAAAAAGTATACGCGCCAACATACTTGCACTTACTTTTCATGTAACTATAGATATTTCACTTAAATCTATAGTTTCATTTCGTCGCGTACAAATTTGCATTTACTTTACCTTTTTAAAAGTCCCTTAATTTAACTAATTGTTCATACTAACTTAGAACTTTGGAATTTTTTGAATATTCTGATTTAGTCACGGGTTGTACCATGAACTCATTCACCGATATTATATTTCCGCCAAGGGCAAGTTTTATTATAAGTCTCCCTGCATCATCATCGAATCCTTCTATTTGACCGTAATTATTGGATTGCTTTCCAGCTATGATTTTCACGAACGTGCCCTTTTCAATTTTGAGTTCTTCCTCTTGTTTCTTGGAATTTGTATTCTTCTGTAGTGTTACTTTGTCTGCTCCAAGTCCCATACCTTTTGGTCGTAATTCTGGTACAACAGCTGATACAATTCTGTAATAATAATAC